CCCCCAGACACATGACATGTGGCTTCGCGGTGGGTGGAGGGTACTTCCCACCCCACCCCACCCCACCCCGGCTTCCGGCTTGCCCACGTGGCTTGCTTTGGCCATGGAATGAAGCAGAAACGAAAGCCTGCCAGATGCCAGCCGGCGCCTTAGGGGGTTCCGCGGGCCCGCGTGAGCTTCTACCTTCGCCCAGAAGCCCTTCAGCGGACGCCCAGAGGGAACGGAGCACCTGGCCGATCCGCAGGCCTGCAGGGAGCCGCAGAGCGCAGCAGCCGGCCCGGCGTTCGAGCCGAGCACAGGCCTGCGAGAACCCCGTTCCAGCCGCCGTCTGGTGGCTGCAGCAGGAGCTCACCAATGCAGGCATCCGCGTTTTTATCAGGCGATGGGGCCAGCGGCTGCGCCAGGGACCTGATACAACAGTGCGTTAAACATGGAGCTTACTGAGCACTCATGTTGTTAGCCGGTGGAGAAGTCCAGGGCATGGAGCCTCCCCATGGTTCGCAGGTCGCCATCTTCGGTGTCTTCAGCCCCGCGAGCCCCAACGACCCGCCCACAGGGCGGCACCGGCCCCTCCTCCCAACACCACCCTCTAAATCCTCGGCTCCAACCGGTTCCACGTGTGTTTCAGGCTCAGGATTTTCCCTCTTCTAGAATGGGGGTGCCCCTCCCCGCATCCTCCGAGTGGCAACAGCATCTCCCTCCCTCCAGGACCTCAGAGCCAGAGCTGGGCAAGAGGCCCTGACCTCTGGGGTGGGGGTGGCAGCGTCCTGTGAAGATACGGTCCTGCCTCCCATCCCCAGGCGCCTGGCCTCTCCCACCCTCAGCGCCCTGCTCACCACCTGCTGAAGATGCCAGGGCACCCCTGCTCCCTCCCTGCCCTCTATGTCACAGGGCAGAGTGAGCATAAAAGGCCTTAACATAGGCCTCCGGCCAGTCGCAGTGGCTCCCGTCTGGAATCCCAGTGCTTTGGGAGGCCAAGAAGGGAGGATCACTTGAGGCCAGGAGTTCAAATCCAGACTGGGCAACAAAGTGAGACCCAACTCTACAAAATAATAAACTAGGACCCTTTTTCTGGGAGATTGATGTAGGAGAGCTGGAAGGGAGGCATGTAGGATCAGCCATTTAAAGCAACATCCAGGGATGGTCAAGGCTAGAGACACACAGGTGTATTTTCAGAAACTGAATTTCCTGGCGGGGCACTGTGGCTCACACCTATAATCCCAGTACTTAGGGAGGCCAAGGCAAGCTGACCACTTGAGGTCAGGATTTCAAGACCAGCCTGGCCAATATGGTGAAACCCTGTTTCTACAAAAATAAAATAAAAATTAGCCGGGCGTGGCGGTGGGTGCTTGTAATCCCAGCTCCTCAGGAAGCTAAGGCAGGAGAATCATTGAACCCAGGAGGCGGAGGTTGCAGTGAGCTGAGATCATGCCCCTGCACTCCCAGCCTGGGCGACAGAGTGAGACTGTCTCCAAAACAAACAAAACAAACTTTTAAAAACCCTGAATTTCCCTGTGGACACCCTTTCTCTGGAAGCCATTTTCAATGAGGGCTATGTTTTCTCTGATACTGTATGGCCTGCAGACCACTCAGATTTCATTCCAGTGAGAACATTCCAGAAAAAAAATCTAGGTCAGTCCCAGGTGTTTCTCTAGTCACCTCAGGGGATGACTGTGTGTCACCTGCTGCCCAGCTAGAATGACACCTCTCCAGGCCTCTGACTTAGCTAGGTCTCCACCATGTGACTCCACCGTAGACTCCCGCCTTCTTCATCTGCAGCCCTGGCTTAAAAACCTAACTTGACGTTTTGGATGTATGGCCTTGGACACTTGGGCAGGTCACCTATGTTCTTTGAGCCCTGTTTTCTTATCTGTCAGATGATGATTTTAAAAACTATCCTTCCATGGATTGCTGAGCCAAATGATATAAGACTGTAAAATGCCTAACTCAGGGTTTGGCGTCAAGTAAGCACATTGTAAATGGTAGCTGCTGCTCTGCCTATACTTATGACTATTTACTCTTGTACTTTGAACTCAGATATTTGTTGGTTCACTGAAGTCACAGAGAAAGATGCTTTCCATTCTCAGTAAGGGACTTTGGGAGGTAACTGGGGCAGGCAGCAAGAGAACAGGTGTCTTTTGTCTGGCATCAGCAAACTCACCAGAACTGATAGGCAGCTCGCTTTGCTTAGCAACCCCCACCAGCACGGGGCTGCTTCCTAGTCACATGGCTTCTGGGTGGGAGGGGGTTCTACTGTTCTGCAGTTAGTGCCATTCTTTATCTCCTATTACTGAACTGCCAGCATTCATTTGCATTCAGCTAGGTAGATTACCAATTCTTGTTCATTCAGATTTTCTTTTATTCATGAATGTGTTTAACATTCACTAACTTACCAAATGTGATTAGTGACTTTTTCTTTGAAGACAGAGGGGAGGAATCCTTGTGTCTTCTGCAACATTCTACTGCCATTATACAACAATGCAGCTATGAATGTACATCAGGTGGGGCAGAAGGTTGGGGGGGGTGCTGGGTGGGGTTGGAGGGAGCCAAGTTGGCAGCACACAGCTGACCCTCAGGGGGATTGAGAGAGGCTAGAGCAGTACACGTGAATGGAGAAGTAGCTCTACCACTGTGTTTTCTGAAATATAGTCCCGTGGAGGAAAATTCTAGGAAATTAGTGCTCTCACACATTCTTCTGACCCTACCCCTCCAGCATCTCCCTGCTATCTAAGGGTTGTTTTTGTTGTTATTGTTGTTTTGAGATGGAGTTTTGCTCCATCATCCAGGCTGGAGTGCAGTGGCACGATCTTGGCTCACTGCAACCTCCACCTCCTGGGTTCAGGCAATTCTCCTGCCTTGGCCTCTCAATGTTGGAAATAAGAGCTCAGAGTCCAAACAAAACAAGCACTCAAAGAAAAGAAAAGGATTTCTCAGCAAGGCAAATTTACTTCTGAAGGGTGCTGCTTGCTCCCCTGGTCACTGTGAGAGCACACCAAAGGAGGGAAGGGGTTTCTATCCCTAATGCAGCCAGTCCCTGCTACTGTGTCCAGTCTCCACTGGCTGGAGTCGAGGGCACAATCTAAGCTGCTACTTCAAATGGAGCAGGGGTGGGGGCTACAGTGGTAGTAAAAGCAGTTTTGGAACTAAGGGCTCCAAATAAGGAACAGATATGGGTTACAGATTGGGAATGGCTAGAAGGTTATTTACTCTAACTAGGGGCAAGAAGGTGCAAAGATTAAGGAAGTTAGCCTTTGAAAACAGAGAACAAAGAGCAAGGGAGTTGAACAAATATAACCTTTGAAGAGGAACTCGATGTACAATGGCACAATCTTGGCTCACCACAACCTCTGCCTCCTGAGTTCAAGCGATTCTACTGCCTCAGCCTCCTGAGTAGCTGGGACTACAGGCATGATCCACCATGCCCAGCTAATTTTTGTATTTTTTAGTAGAGACAGGGTTTCACCATGTTGGCCAGGCTAGTCTCAAACTCCTGACCTCAGGTGATCTGCCTGCTTTGGCCTCCCAAAGTGCTGGGATTACAGGTGTGAGCCACCATGCCCAGCCTGTTTCCTGTAATCTAAAACATCCCTTTTTTTGATCTTTCATGACACTGGCATTTTTTAAGAGTCTAAGATAGTTGTCTTGTAAATTGTCCCATAATCTGGATTTGTCTGTGGCCTTTTTTTTTTTAGAGATGGGGTTTAACCTTGTTGGTCAGGCTGAACTTGAATCTCATCATAAGGAAACAGACGGGGTGGCATGGTGGCCCACTCCTGTAATCCCAGCACTTTGAGAGGCCAAAGCAGGCGGATCACCTGAGGTCAGGAGTTCAAGACCAGCCTGGCCAACATGGTGGAACCCCATCTCTACTAAAAATACAAAAATTAGCCAGGCGCGGTGGCACACACCTGTAATGCCAGCTACTCGGGAGGCTGAGGCAGGAGAATCACTTGAACCCGGGAAGCAGAGGTTGCAGTGATCCAAAACTGTGCAAGACTCTATCAAAAAAAGGCACAGAAAAGAAAATCTTTGCCTTCTTTTCTTTTTGAATATCATTATTCATAGATTCTTCTTTCTATTAATTATGTTGTACCTTATTGTTATTCTTTGGAATGCTCGAATTGTACAGATTTGACCAGTGCAATGTGTTATTATTCAACCCCACAATGCTGGTTAAACTAAGCTATTTTTAATGCCCAGAGTAATTTCTAACATTTCCCACTCCCAACGGGGATTGAGAAAGGGATTCCAGAAGTTGGGGGCTTATTCAGACTCTTCTTTGAAGCCTACCTTCTTCCTGTGTACTTTCAGCCCAAAGTAAGACTTTTTGGGTTGGGAAGAGATACTTCTGAATTAAACTACTGAACAGTGTCACCCAACTCTAATCCCAGCCACCTTTATTCTAGGCATACCATACTCACTGCCATGCTCACCCTTCTGTTGGGCACCTCTGTCCTCCTTCCTACTGGCCTTCGGCTCTTATCCACTGTTCAGTCCGTAGGCCTCACTAGCTCCTTTTTGCCCAGCTCTGTGGTGCTGCTGGCCTGCCTCCTCTACCTACTCAAGTAACCCCTCTATCATTAATTTATTGCTCTGTGTTTCCATCTAAGGATCTTACTTAGCCATGTGGCCTGCTGCCTCTGCCAATTTTAAAAGAATATTGAGGTTGTCTGCAAGATGGTGAAGCTGCATTGCAGTAGTGCGTGTCCGGCAAACACCACACATTGTCATGAGTCCAAATTGTCTGGTGATAAATTGTTACATTATTTTAGTTATTTGCTTTTAAAGCTTTTATTTTTAATTGATGATAAAATGTTCAGCTAATGACATAATTGCTTTATTTTAACTTACTCATTCAGAGTTAAACTCCCTGAATTTCTGAACTACTTCCTTGCTGAGAGTCAGGTTCTCAGTTATTATTACAAAATTTAATACTAGAGCTGTTCTATATGCATAAATGACAAAGAGAAAGGAATGGAAAGGGTAGGGAATGACATTAACATCCACACACTATGTACTGTGTACTGTGCTCTCTGCCTGGTGCTTTGCCCCCAGTGATAATTTATTCATATAATGCGATGTGGTTTGTAAGTTGATTTTTTATGCATGAGGTCCCAAGTATAGGACAGAGGTAGATCTGCAAAAGTCTGACCTGAGGTCAGAAGCAGATCCAAAGACCTAACCTATACCATTTTTGTTTTAGAAGATGCAATGGCTAGAGTTACAAATATGAAGGTTTTAAAGTTAAAAACAAACCAATTGTACACCATTTCTGAAAACACAACCTACCATACTCCTCCTGGGGCAGATTCCGCTGGGACTGCGTTCAACTTAGGGCCAACTGTTAAACAAACCAATGAAGCACGATGGGAATACAACAACGTGGGTACTGACCTGTCCCCCAAGCCCAATAGCTGCAATTACCCATTGCTCTTGTCTCCAGGTGATCAGTTTGAAATTCAGCTAAAGCAGCAGCTAGGGTCCCTCATCCCCAACACCGATGTGAGAAGGCTCATTTCTCATGTTCTCCGAGCCTTGAAGATGGACTGCTCTGAGATCCACGTGCAGCTGGCCTGTGCCAAGCTCATCTCCAGGACAGGCCTCCTGATGAAGCTTCTCAGTAAGAGGCAAGAGGTAAAGGTGTCCAGGGCAGAATGGCATATGGGCCAATGGAAAACTGAGAACCAAATCCTGAGATATATCTCCTGAGATACAGACTATAACTGAGAACAATATCCTGAGAACTATGATTCCACATGCATGGAACTATTCTCAAGACCCAGGCAGGAAACACTACTTTTTCTTTTTTATTTATTTATTTTTCCCTGGTTCCTAGAACTGAGGAAACACTACTTTCTCATCCTACTGGTTTTTGGGCCCCCACTCTATCCCTTTTACACAAACCTCATAGAATTGTAACTAGGAGAGGCCTTAGTAGTTTGTCCTTCTATGATGGGAAAACTGAGAAAGGGAGAGTGTCTTGCTCCGTGGCCACACTGCTGGCAAGGATCAGGAAGAGGATGGCTCTGTGCTCGCTGGGGACTTCACTGATTATGTTGTACTTGGGCTGTAAGCCACATTCTGCGCCACAAATCAACACATACAGACTGTACAGACAGAAGTGGTTTCTGAAACAATGCACTCTGGCTCCTTATTCATATTCAAGAAGAATTATGTTGTCCTTTAAGCTGATGTCACAGTACACTCACTTGCCAGCGGCAGCCTGCCGTATAAAGATCTGTGAGATAGATTAACTTGGCTAGTTGCACTCAGGCATTTGCTTGATGTGATTCAACTTATAGAATAAAGCATCTAGAAAAAAAAAAGAACCACTTCATCCCCCACCCCCCATCAAATGATGCCCGTGAGACTACATCTGAAGGGGACTGATATAAAATGCTTCTGCCCAGCATGGTTGTGCAGTTTGTTCATTGCACAAGGGCAACTGGCCAAGGGGGTGAGTGGTACTGAACGTCTTGCCCATGCTCCATGCTGAGCCACATACAAGGTGCCCCGAGAGACATTGTGGGGCCCTTCCGGACAGACATGGAGAGCTTCTGAAAGTCTCACTTGCATGGAGTGATTTTCAAGACCCCAGGCGTGTGGTCTGCAATGGTTCTGCTGACTGTGATTATGGACTGAGGTACTCATCGAGTCCTAATAAGACCAGAGAAGTACATTGTGAGAGACGTGGCAAACGGCAGCATCACTCACTGTCTTGTGCCTGCGTCTCCCCAGGGGCCTTTCCAGATTTCTGCCACATAAGAGACGCTCATCGCGAAGGTACATTGGGGGAGGATTCATTGCTGTGGTCAGAGAAAGCAGAGGACGTGCAAAATGAATATTTCCCTTTCTGTCTTCCAGGATGGCTTTGTCTTGTTAAGACAGCCACCTTGGCTTAGGGATATGAACAGACCTCTCAGTGCCACGTAAGTGAAAAAACATGACACAGAAACCTCTCGACAAGGAGTCTTCCAATGAAGATGCAATCTTTAACAAGGACGTGGAGTAAACGACGGGGCCTTCATGGTTCCCATCTAAAACCAGGAGGGCGTGAAAAGCTGAATTGCTCCTTTCAAGGATCAAAGCCTTGGCATGATCATTCTTATCCCAGGGACAGCAAAGGCCCAAAGGCCCCAAAGACAAGACCCCAACCGGAGAGTCCTCCGGCTGCTGAGGAGGAGGAGAGTGAGGTCCCCCGGGGAGGAGGAGAACAGAGTGACCCAAGCCTGCCTCAGGCCTTCTGCAAATTCTCTTTTCTAATATTGCCTTTGCAACTTTGCTTGCAAAATACTTATTTTTCTCATATTAAGTTATATAATATTCACAACCAATTCTAGCCCTGCAGTAAGACATTGAAATGTCTAGTTAAATATTTATGCATAAATGACAAGGCCCATCAGAAAGAAAAGTAGGACTGAAGCCAGCGGCCCCCCGTCCACCAAGAGGCAGCGGGCAAAGGAAGCACAGGGCCATCTTTCCCTCCCTTGTTTCCCAGTCTAATTTAGTCACCCAGACCTGAAAACATATCCTCAGAGTGTGGAGATTTTACAATTAAATAGCGTTATTCTTGGTGCCCTCTCCCCTGGTTCATCAAGCACCAGTCATATAACACTACATACCTGACTTCCTGCCCATAGGGGACCTCCCACCTCCTGGCCCCTCTCATAGGCTCACTGGGCCTACCTGGACTGTGGAGCCAAGCCCTGTCTTTCTCAAGCCCTCAAATCCATGCATGAACGTTCATCTAGACTTGGTGAGGGGCTTTTCACCCTTATAAGATGGTGGAAAATTCACACTGGTTTTTTAAATTTGTGTTTCTTTTTAAAAATCCCAACCATGGCCGACCACGGTGGCTGAGGCCTGTAATCCCAGCACTTTGGGAGGCTGAGGCAGGAGGATCGCCTGAAGTCAGGAGTTCGAGACTAGCCTGGCCAACATAGTAAAATCCCGTCTGTACTAAAAATACAAAAATTAGCCAGGCGTGGTGCACGAGCCTGTAATCCCAACTACTCAGTGTTGGATACAGTGAGTTTTCTTTTTTTTTTTTTGAGACCGAGTCTCACTCTGTCGCCCAGGCTGGAGTGCAATGGCGCGACCTTGGCTCACCACAACCTCTGCCTCCCGGATTCAAGCGATTCTCCTGCCTCAGACTCCCAAGTAGCTGGGATTACTGGCGTGCACCACCACGCTCGGCTAATTTTTGTATTTTTAGTAGAGATGGGGTTTCACCATGTTGGCCTGGCTGGTCTCAAACTCCTGACCTCAAGTGATCTGCCCAGCTTGGCCTCCCATGCCTGGGATTACAGGCATGAGCCACCACCCCCAGGCCTCTCTTTTATATACTGAAGTTCAACATTAAAAAAAATACTTGAGGTTAAAAATGCATGAAATCCACTACACCATGGACACAATCTGCTCCAATTAGTCACGCCTACTCTTTGTCAACTGCAATTACCTTGTATACATCAGTATCTCCTGTCTTCGGTAATGTCTGTTCCTCCCTCCTCAGGACTTCTTAGTGAAATCATCCCTAGTCACTCTTCTTTTGAATCCTTATAGCATTTTATTTTTATTTTATTATTTAGAGACAAGGTCTTGCTCTGTCACCCAGGCTGGAGTGCAGTGGCATAATCATAGCTCACCGTAACCTTCAAATCCTAGACTCAAGCAATCCTCTCACCTCAGCCCCCCAGGTAGCTAGGACTGTAGGTGTGCACTACCTTGCCTGGCTAATTTTTAAATGGGGGTCTCACTATGTTGCCCAGGCTGGACTTGAACTCCTGGGTTCAACTGATCCTTCTGCTTTTGAGTAGCTAGGACTACAGGTACATGCCACTGGAACTGCAACTTCTTTTCTGATTGTTATTTTGTCATGCCTTAACTCACATTCAAGGTCTTTTCATTTATCCTTCAAATGTGACGATCTCTGTACTAGGAAACAAGTGCTCCCTTTCCATACAGCATGCAAATTCACCATTCTCATTCCATCTTCTCTCCTGCGATCCCTTTCATCTTTATTTTAATTTTTGTAGAGACAGGGTCTCGCTATGTTGCCTAGGCTAGTCTTGAACTCCTGGCCTCAAGTGATCCTCCTGCTTTGGTCTCCCACAGTGCTGGACTGTAGGGGTGAGCCACCACACCCGGCCCTTTCCCTTTCTGCTTTATCCCTAAAACCTAACCTCTCACCATTGACAGCCAAGTCTGACTAATCTTGTTTATTATCTGGGCCTCTTCTCTTCTCTGTCTTTATTCCATTAAAAAGGTCAAAGACTCTATAGAGCCCATATCTGTTTCAATATGGTTTGTGAATAACTAAAATTATGCTTACCTTTGGCAACTGTATAAAGACTCCAAGTCCCATTTAAATAGCAGAAAACGAAGATGACAGCGACATGCTCCATCAGCTACACCAGCCCCGTGTATAACTAAGGCTTTCTGACAATCCATACCTTGCTTTGTGATTTGGGGTAGCTGCATGTTTGCTATCCCACCACCAACCTATTCCTATTTTCAGTATCAGCTTTTCCCGAGACCGGATAAGGTATGAATATTGATTTCAAAGTCAGGCTTATGTTTGAATGGTAGAGGTTCAGTACCTGTATAATCTTTCCAAAACTTTTAATTTACAAAATGAGCATGCTAATACCTATTTCATTAAATGAGACAATGTAAAACATCTGGACTCTAGATCACTATTTGGGACATAATAAATATTAAGCATTATTTCCTTTTTACAAAGGAAAACATGAATTGAAAAGGAAAAGTAAGGCCAGATGTGGTGGCTCACCCCTGTAATCCCAGCACTTTGAGAGGCCAAGGTGGGCGGATCACTTGAGGCCAGGAGTTTGAGACCAGCCTGGCCAACATGGTGAAATCCTGTCTCTACCAAATATATAAAAAATTAGCTGGGTGTGCTGGTGCGTATAATCCCAGCTACTCGAGAGGCTGAGCCAGGATAATTGCTTGAATCTGGGAGGCAGAGGTTGCAGTGAGCTGAGGTGGTGCCATAGCCCTCCAGCCTGGTGACAAGAGAGAAACTCTGTCTCAAAAAAAAAAAAAAAAAAAAAAAAAAAAAAAAAAAAAAAAAAAAAAAAGAAAAAAGAAAAAAGAAAAGAAAAGGAAAAGGAAGATAGAAAGACAACTCAGCTTCTGCAAAGACTATTCAGAAAAATGTATCTATGTCACTATAATATTAATGAAAATATTTTCTCAAAGAATGATTTTTCTTAAGAAATTAGTCAAATATTGATATTGATTGATTGAGATAGGTCTTCAGATTTATTAATAGAGACAGGTCTAGCTCTGTTGCCCAGGCTGCAGTACAGGAAGGGCAGTGGCCCATCACAGCTCCCTACAGCCTCCAGCACCAGGGCTCAAGCAATTCTCTTGCCTCAGCCTCCCAAGTAGCTAGAACTACAGGCATGTGCCATCACACCTGGCTAATTTTTCTATTTCTGTTGAGACAGGGTCTTGTTATGTTGTCCAGGCTGGTCTCAAATTCCTGGCCTCAAGCTACCCTCCTGCCTCAGCCTCCCAAAGTGCTGGGATTACAGGTGTGAGCCACCGCACCAGGCCAGAAGTTAGTGCAATGTTAATTAATATTCTAATTTAACCATAAGACCTAAATTGTAACATTGCATGTTTCTATTCTATTGTATTGAATTCAAATCTAGTTTCCTGTCTGTAATGCTAGCACTTTGCAAGGCTGAGGTAGGAAGATTGCATGAGGCCAGGAGTTTGAAACCAGCCTGGGAAACATAGCAAGACCTCATCTCTAATGGAAAAAAAAAGAAAAAAAAAGTCTAATTTTCCTTTGCATAAAATGTAGTCTAAATATTGTTGAGACTTAACTTACCTAATGCAGACCTTGCCCTACCGTATTGACCATTTATTTCCTAACTGAAACAAGGCTTGGAAGGAGGCATACATAAATGTAACCAAAGACATGCCCCCAACCCTACT